TTTTCCTAGGGACCCCCCTGTTACACTGTCGCCCCGCTGTTCCCCTCAGCAGTGTGTTTCAGTTGATCTGCCTGTTCTGCTCCCCACTCTGTCTCTGGGGAATCCTCTCACCCCCACACCTCTGGCCTGTGCCACACTTCTTGAATGCATAAATACATAAATCTTTGGGGGGAAAAAAATGATGGAGAAGTAACAGATTTACTTGAAGGATTTCAACGTCACTATGACAGTTTTCCCACAAATATTGCTTTCTTTAATCCAACGAACCGAAAGACCTCTACAGTCTCAGTTATGAAACTCCTTTGTTTTTTTGTTGTTTTTTTTTAACCATCATTACTGTGGTTTTCCTTGACCTTTTCCATTATAAAGTGTCTTCTTGTTCTCTTTTCCAACTGAAACTTGCATGAGAGCCGGAGGAAGTTTTGATGGACACAGAATCACTTCGGAATTGCTTCAGAGAGAGAGTGGGTGGCCTGTCTGAGGAGTGGATTCTCTCTACCAGTGCTGGTAGCTCGCCTTCTAGATGGTGACAAACGCCAGCAGTCACTCACCCCTTAGTAAGAAATAGTCCCTGAGTTCCTTTGCTAGGCCGCAGAAGGAGCTGCCGGCTGCAGAGGGCGCTGTGTGGAGCTGGGCCGGGCTCCCTAGTCCTCACTAACCCCGGCAGGGCGGACTCCAGGAACTCCCCTGGGGGAGGGGCTCCTGGTAGCACAAGGGTTAAGTCTCAGCACTGTGAAGCTATCCCAGTCACTGCAACTGGGGCTTTTCCTCTCACACCCCAATTCCTGTATGCAAATAAATTTAAAAAAAGAAATAGAAATGGCCCCGGGGCAGGGCGCCTGCTGCCAGGGCACTCCCCTTCCACCCCTATAAGAACCTCTAAAAGACGATCTTCAGCACAGACTTCGCTTTGCTCAGGACCCCCCAGTCCCGAGAGCGCCAGGAGGGAGGGCAAGCAGCCGCTGCAGAGACCCGGTGAGCCACAGCTTCATGCAGGGCGCTCCGAGGCTGCCGCTGAGGTCGTGAGCAGCACCAGCCTGGGCCGCCTTGGCCCGGTGGAGACGCACCGCGCTCCCCATCCCTCGGCCCCCCCACCCGCCTGGGCTGAGTGGCGATTCCGCTTCCCCAGCCCCAGGGCAGCTCCCCACGCCGCCTGCACCTGGACTCCCCTGCACTGTTCAGGGCCAGGCGGGGAGGGAGGGAAGGCCAGGGCGTGGCACTGGAAAGCCTGAGATCAGATTGCTCCATTTTCTTCTGACAACTCCCTTCCATTTTCTTGTGAGTTTCCAGGCAGACACTGGTCTGTGTTGCCGCCCGGCCATGGAGCAGCTGAGCGCAGCCAACTCCGCCTTCGCCTTGGACCTGTTCCGCATCTTGGGTGAAGACAGCCCCACTGGGAACCTCTTCTTCTCCCCCCTGAGCGTCTCCTCGGCGCTGGCCATGGTCTCCCTGGGGACCAGAGGCGACACCGCGGCCCAGGTGTCCAAGGTCAGCAGAAGAGACAAAAGGACAAAAGGAGAGACCCCGCTCTGGTGTCTGGGGGGGTCGGTGAGGGAGGAGCGGCCTTTGGGGTGTTCCTGCACCTGTGAATCTGTTCTGGCTGGACCCACACCGCGGGGGGCACTTTCAGGGAGGCCAGCACTGTCCACTCGCTGCAGGCTTCCCCTTGAGTCCCCTCTCAGTGAGCACCTGCTAGGTCCAGGCACCGCATGTGACTGGTGAGGTTGGGGGGCAGAGGTGGGGGGGCGCAGGCTTCTGTGTTCTGGCTCCAGCCCGGGCTTGTGTGGGCTCAGCCTCTCCTGCGGGAACAGGCCTGTCCCAGTCAGCTGCGTCATGCAGAGCTGCCGGGACAGATGCCTTCAGGTCGGTCACTTCTGAGGGTGTGACACCCAGGGCAGGCACTGTGCTGGGAGGGGACTGGCCTGCTAGGGGGACACGGGGACCAGGGGACTCTGAGGCCCTGGCCAGTGCCCATTGAGGCTCTGGGTTCTGATGTCCTGGGCCCCGGGCAAGGGCCTGCAGAGAGCAGGCAGCAGCTGTGGCCAAACCCTGGGCACTTACTGCAGGGGACTCTTCTGGCCACTGGCGAGTGATGCCCACCTTCTGCTCCCCTTGTACAGTGTGGGGGCCCCTTGCCAGGGGTGCCTTGTTCCCGAGGGGGGACTCTGGCTTTCCCTGGCGCCGAGGGAGAGGAGGACCGCAGGGAAGGGCTCTCTGCCTCCCGTCACACGTGACCACCTCAGCCAGGCCGTCAGTCCGGTCAGGTCTCTGGGCTTCCCCGCGGCCTGACTGCACTCCGGGGACATCTCGTGAGACCGCGTCCCCAGGGCCACAGAGGGCAAAGCCTGTGAATGTTCTGTGACTCCACTGGTGCTTCTTCTTAGTTGTGTTTGCTTCTGAAAAGGGGGCGTCGGCCTCTGCTCTGGGGCTCTCAGGGCCGGGGTGACCCAGCCAGAATAGTCCAGGAGGCTTCTGCTCCAGTGCCACCATGACAGGTCAGTCCCAGCACCAGCAACATCCGACCTGTGGCGACCTGGACAGGGCTCTGTGTGGGTTTGACTGTGTCACAAAGCCAGGAACAGCCTCGGCCTCACAGAACTACACAAGAATTCCTGATTTGCAACAAATCTGTGGGGAATGAAACTTTTCCTAAATGTTATGTTTCAGGAAGTGCTTTCTAATAAGGGAGTTATTGATGCTCCGGTAATTAAAGAAAACCCCTCAACCCACAATATCCTTGTTCCTGCAGAGTGAAGACTTCTGTTTTTACTATTTATTCCTCAGGAATTTCAGTAAAATTATACTTGATAAAATGATAGAGTGATGCTGTATTAGATTTGCCTTGGGGAGAAAGAAGAACGCCTAGACACGGAACACACCATTTATTATTTTCTTGGGGAGAAAGAAGAACTGTTGACATTGAAGCTTACTAACCACTCATATTTGCAGAACTAGAATTATAACCAAAAAAGTGATGTAGAAACAGTGCCTAAAGTTGGGGTGACTGGGCCTCACCACTGCAGGTTTAGGATTCGCCAAGGAAAGCTTACAAGGTGCTGCGCTGGGCCTCAGAGCTCAGTAACCATGACACCTTCCTCTGGTGGGAGGCAATGGCCGGGCTCAGGTTATAATTTCAACGTCAGTGTTTATAGAAAATGTTTTCTTCACTTTAGACCCTTCGTTTTGACGCGGTTGAGGAAGTTCATTCCAGATTTCAGAGTCTGAACGCCGCAGTCAACAAGCGAGATGCTGCTTACGTCCTGAAACTGGCTAATAGGTTATATGGAGAGAAAACCTATCATTTCCTCCCGGTAAGTGCTTTCTGTCTCAAAGTTTAAAATTCACAAGGTAATGGAGATTTTTTTTTTCCCTCTAGCAAAATCAAGTCCTAGAAGGCATTTCTAACTTTATTTTTAAAAATTTATTTATTTGTGCATACAGAACTGGGGTATAGGCCAGAGGTGCAGGGGTGGTGAGGGGATTCACCAGAGACAGAGTGGGGAGCAGAACAGGCCGAATGACGAAGCACACTGCTGAGGGGAACAGCGGGGGGTGGCGGGTCAGGAGAGGTCTGCCGTGCCATGTGGTCACCTCCGGGGCGGGGATCGAACTCATGCTGAAGTGGCTTTAGCTTCTTAGTGCTGTGCTCTAACCCACTGTGCCACCAGGGAGGGCCCGGCATTTCTAACTTTTTATAAATATTCAGGAACAAAATAAAGAATGGAACTAGGTAATAGATGATGTTCTCTTAAGTGCTGTGACTTCATTCTGGTCTTCACAGTGGAGAGAATATTTGGTCCTGGCTGTTTAACCAAAGCCAGAGGGAGGCGACCACTCACCTCAGGTATAATCAGTGTTCATTACTTATAAAGATGTTAGAGAAAATTTGGTATTTTATACAATACCAAAACTGACTGATCTTTACACTTAAAAATGGTTCAGTTGAGGCCCCTCCCTGGTGGCCCAACGGGTTAGGACACAGCACTGCAAGCTGGCCGCAGCCGCCTCAATGTGAGTTCAATCCTTGGCCCCAGAGGTGACCCACAGGGCGCGGCAGACCTCTCCTGGCCCGCCCGCTGCTCCCCTCAGCAGTGTACTTCATCAATCTGCCTGTTCTGCTCCCCACTCTGTCTCTGGTGAAGCCTCTCACTGCCTCTGCACCTCTGGCCTGTACCCCGGTTCTGTATGTATGTATGTATCCCCTACATACATACATACATACATACATTTCATAAAAAACAAATGGTCCAGTTGAATAAATCTAGCATTTTTTCCCATATTAATAAGAACATGGTTAGATTCTTTTGGTTATGAGGCCATGGTCCTTGAGGTCAATTTCTATTGCTTTAAAAGGTCTTAGAAAATGACCTCTGTGGATAGTAGAGTTATTCATAGCATTTCTTATTTTTTTATATAGGAGTTCTTAGCATCTACTCAGGAAATGTACGGCGCCGAGCTGGCCAGTGTGGATTTCCAGGGCGCCTCGGAAGGGGCCAGGCAGGTGATCAACGAGTGGGTCAAAGGGCAAACAGAAGGTAAGAGGGTGACAGGGGTGGTCTTCGCCCTGGTCCTGCCTCTGCGTGTCCCCCTCCCCACCTTTGTGGGGGTGTCCTCTCCCCGCCCCCCCAAACCGCCTCCCAACTTCACCTGAGCAGCTTCCACACATAAAAATTCCTTGCAGTGGAATCCTAGACAGGATTAACCAAAGCCTAAGCGGCTAAATATTTCATCCCATGCGCTCTCAAATTACATTTTAAATTTAGAGCTATGACTGACTGTAGTTTAAGAGAAATTAAAATTTGGGACAAGAGAGGGGCGGACCCAGCCAGTCTAACTATTCACTACACCGCTGGCAGGAAATCCCCATGGAATGGAATTTGTCACACCCACCAGGTCAGGAGCTTCTCCTGCACTGGCTTGGGTCAGGCGGGACAGCGGGCTGTGCTGGCCACTGTCCTCTGTCTCCCTGGTCAGGAAATGGGATGGGGCATCTCAGACCCTGGGCTGTTTGAGGAGTGCTCAGTGTGGCCACGGTTCAGGGAAGGATCCAGCCCCCCTTTGCATATTTGAGGGCTGCTGTCCCTGGGGGCTTGGAGGACTCACTTCCTAGTGACTCAAAACATTGTCATGCAAGACTATTTTTTTCAAAGATTCAATATGCATGCATGCAAAGGCTGGGGTGCAGGCCAGAGATGTGGGGGTGACAGGATTCACCAGAGACAGAGTGGGGAGCAGAACAGGCAGATGGACTGAAATATACTGAGGGGAGCAGCAGCGAGACAGGAGAGGTCTGCTGTGCCCTGTGGCTCAGCTCCCTGGTGAGGGATTTAACTCCTGCTGCAGTGGCTGTGAACAGCTTCATAGTGCTGCATCTTAAGCCCTTGCACCACCCAGATGGCCCCATTGCAAGACTACTTTTTTTCTGCAAAAGAATGGCCGTCCACAAACAAATCTCCTGTGATCACTCTCCAGAAATGGGGCATTACCTGTTAGCACGTTAGACTTGTACAGAAGTTAAACCCTGGGGTGGTTGTGTGTCATGTGATCAGTCACATGAGGTGGTGCAGTCAGACATACAAGGGTGTTCTTACCTTAAGGGAAACAAGTGCAAAAATTTGCATCTGAATTGCATTTTGGGGGTGAACAAAATCAGTTCAGGGTTGGAGTTTGGGGATGTGGAATTACAATAACACAATTGCTTTATCTTTCAGGGAAGATTCCGGAACTGCTGGCTGCAGGTATGGTGGACAGCATGACTAAGCTGGTGCTGGTGAACGCCATCTACTTCAAAGGCACCTGGCAGGACGAATTCAAAAAGGAGGAAACCAAGGATGCCCCGTTCAGGCTGAATAAGGTGAGCTCAGGAGCTTTCTAAATGTGCCCTCTGCTCTACAAGATGCCGATGGTGAGTGACCTGTGCTTCAACCTTTCAGAGAGACACAAAGACAGTGAAAATGATGTACCAGAAGAAGAAGCTTCCTATTGGCCACATCCACGAGCTGAAGTGCCACGTGCTGGAGCTGCCTTACAAGGGCGGCGAGCTCAGCATGGTCATCCTGCTGCCCGATGACATAGAGGACGAGTCCACAGGGCTGGAGAAGGTGACGCACCTGCCCTCCGTCCTCACATCCCCTCTCCTGTAGGGTCTACCTGCATGTGCTGAGAGGTCGCTGCCGGTTATGTTTACTGATGTCACCTCACCTCCCAATTCTTTTATAATCTAGCCCATCACACTTACTGCTGGGCCCTTGTTACAATTTCAGGAGTGTCTGTGAACAATGTGAGGACAGGTGAAGACCTACAATATGTTTGTTGGTCACTGACAGCTCATGCAAACTCTTAAGATAGTTTTGTACACTGAGAGTTGGTTATTTCATTACAAAAATTGTCTTCTTAAGCCTCCAAGACACATGGCATCTGCTATTTCCATAGCCCTTAGTCTTTCCTACCTCATTGAATGCTAATGACCATATTAGAATGGTAGGTGCCACAATGAACCCCATTTGAGATGAGGAACTAGGATCTTTTCTATTTTTCCTTCTGAACTGAATGTATTAGAGATTAGTCCAGCTTTGTGTGGTTTATAGATTATAACAATGATTAATGGGTTCAGAATAAATATAATAGAATACATAGAAGAAAACTTTTATATTTTCCCTACACCACTTGAGCAGTTAGCTAACATGCAATATAGCCATTGTGGTAATAATAGCCCTGACTGCCGCGGACCAGCGCAGCGGGAGCAGGAGACAAGTTTCAGGGATGGCAATACTGGCGCAGGGTGGACAAGGATGAGGCTGAGTGACAGACAGACACGACTTCTAGGAGTGCACATCTGAATGTCATTTATTTTTCAGAGTGCAGAGCATTTATACAATTTTTCTTGGCAAGCAAATATAGGGGTACAATGATTCAATAGAAGCGTGACAGGTAGTACATTAATTTCTTTTTGTTTCTGAGATGTTGCCAGGGGCCCGACACCAACTTGGGGCCCTAGGAAACCACCGTGTATTCAGGGTTCAGTGGTGCTAAACAAATGCCCTATCTATCATTTATGCCTTTCTAGCCCTTTTAATTGCTCTCTCCATTCATTTCACAAACCACCTGGTGTACAGGAAGTTAATAGTTTAATAGAATTAAAGATTATAGAAAAGTTTCTCAGAGTTAAATCAATATCAAGAGCAGAGGAAGTTACATTCCTATCAAGAGTATCATTAGAAACGAAGCACAGTATCCATAGCATTTTTTTGTTGTGCATCAACAGAATCAGGAAACAAATCAAAAAGTTACAGTGATCATTGGAGAATCAGCCGTTCTTTTATTCCTGGAAGGCCACGTATTCCTCCCGTGTGCCTCGTACCTTGACCGTGCCAAGCTCTAAGGATTTCTCACTTAGGCGCCGCGGGAGGGGACGTGGCACCCAGCGATCCACCACCATGGTCCAGTATGGCAGAGCGTTATTAAGTCACAGGCGAGAAGGTAGATAGTGGTAGGTGTGTGGTGAATGCAAGGCTGGAAGGGTGTAGCTGGCGTGCCAGTGCCTCAGTACACATGTGGTGGATGGAGAAGATGGGTGCACGGTTGTTTGACGGATATGATCTCCCAGCTCTCTTACTTGGGCCTTTGCTGACTTGGAACACAACACTGTCCATTGTCCCAATTGCTAAAAAGAGCTGGCACAAAACATGAACAAAACAAATCAACGATGAGGTTATGAGTCTGTTCATTGAATAACCCTTTAGTTACTGATCAATATAAAATTGATTTTTCTTTGCCCTTCAAATTCCAGATTGAACAAGAGTTGACTTTGGAAAAACTCTGTGAGTGGACCAAGCCTGAGAATCTGTATAACCACATGGACATCCACGTGCACCTGCCCAAATTCAAGCTGGAAGAGAGCTACTATCTCAACTCCCACCTGGCGCGCCTGGGTGTGGAAGATCTCTTCAGCCCTAGCAAGGCTGATCTGTCAGGCATGACTGAAACCAGAGATATATTCATATCAAAAATTGTCCACAAGGCCTTTGTGGAAGTGAATGAGGAGGGCACAGAAGCCGCAGCCGCCACTGCACTTGTTTCCAAGACCTGTAGCCTGAGACCAGACCAGAGCTTCGTGGCCGACCACCCCTTCATTTTCATGATCCGTCACAATCCTTCTGGCAGCATCCTGTTCCTGGGGAGACTGTCTTCCCCTTAGACGCTGTAGAAGTAGACAGCCAAAATCAAGTTATATATTTGACTTATAATGCAGTGTAACTTCATCAATAAAACTACTGTCTAAACCCAAGCTTTGATTTCCTCTGTAAGGGTGACTCTGTTGGGTCTTGACATCCACTTACTATGCCGGGGTATCGATTTTACTCCTTTTATACTGAAAAACTCCAGTGGTTGTTTTTGAAAGCATCAAATTCAAACAAATACCCCAGATGTGTAAGATTCTTGACAATCAGTCATCTGTGCAAAGAAAATGGAAGATACTCTGATTTGGTTAATAGAACTTCAGAAGTCATCATACACATTCTGGTTACTGAAGGGAGAGCTTCAGGTGAAAACAGGAGAGCCCCCAATTCGGGCTGTTTTGTAAAGACAAACTTGCCTTGACCTCTGTCCTAGAGACTGATGTTCCACAGGATTCGTTTTCAGACCATTCATTCAGACCCCACTTGGGGTCCCCTGCGCTCCCCATTCTGTTCTGTATCTGACCCACCTGTAGCTCTCCTGAGGTTCCATGGAGTCAAGAAGTGGGTGTCTCACATAGAGATGCCCAGAAATGACCAAAAGAAAAATGGGTAGGAGAGACTGTTAAGCCAAGAGTGGGCAAAGATCTCAGTGTGCCCAGCTCTCAGGTGTTTTGTCATAAAGACTCTGCTACCATTATTGATACTGGTTGCTACGGCAATGGTTGGCTTATGTGGTGCTGCGGTGGGAGATGAAATCAAAACTTGTTCTGGGACACTTGGGAACACATGTAGATAAAATTTCAAGTTGCTTTCAGCCTTAAAAATCTAAGAAAAATCCTGTAGAAGTAAGGCAAGGCCAAATTTTTAGATTATATATGAATAGGGCCTTCCTGGGGGCCCAGAACTTAAGTCTCAGTGCTATCAGGCTAGCATGCTGTGGTATTGTTAAGGGGAAGGATCTCCTAAAGGAACTCTGCAGAGTTTTGTGGACTCCACCCCCTACTCCAGCTTTCTGGACTCTACCCGCCCCCGCCCCCCATTCCAGTGACTGGAAAACTACAACTCCCAGCAGTCCCAGGGAGAGAACTGTGAGGACCCAAGGGCGGAGCTAAGCAGGCATTCTGGGACTTTGGAGGATAAATAGGGAGCGGTTTTTCAACTGTCACTCTGGAGAGGTAAAGGCTCTCTGTCTTTTCTCTCTCTGTGTAGCAGATGGTGTGATGGGATCTATCAGTTAGTTTGTTACCAGAGTTCCAAGTTAGCCAGCTGGTAAGATATTCCAGTTATTTTGTATCCCTCTCTCTTTCTCTGGGTTGGGACCTTTTCCTTTCCCCTTTTTGTAAATAAACCCATTACCCTTTTGTGTGTGTGTCTGCAGAAAATTACATTTTAACTCTTGAGTGAGGCCCCACAGACAGGCAGCCCAAGTCCACTCTGGGCTACCCTGTAACAGTATGAGTTCCATCCCTGGCCAGGGTGCTGACCCACAGGGTGCAGCAGACCTCTCCTGCCACCCCAATGCTCCTCTCAGCAGTGGATTTCAGTACACCCACCTGTTCTGCTCCCCACTCTGTCTCTGGTGAATCCTCTCACCCCTTGCACCTCTGGCCTGTACTCCAGTTCTTGTGGCATAAAAATTAAATCTTAAAAAAAAAAAAGGATTATATATGAATATATATTCATGAACATTTAACGAGTGCTATTTTTTTTTTTAAGATTATTCACTTATACACACAGCACTGGGGTACAGGCCAGAGGTACAGGGGCGGTGAGAAGCTTCACCAGAGACAGTGGGGAGCAGAACAGGCTGATCTACCGAGTACACTGCTGAGGAGAGCAGTGGGTGGTCAGGAGAGGACTGCCACGCCATGTGGGTCAGCTCCAGGGCAGGGGACCTAACTCGCACTGAAGCAGCTGCGGCCAGCTTGCAGTGCTGTGTCCCAAACTGTTGCACCACCCAGGAGGGTCCAGAATGACATCTTAACAGGATAGAGGCACACACAGAAATAGCTTTAGTTAGATTCATTCCTTGGCTTTTGGACTCTGCAGGTAATAATAACACGAGGTACCACCTCACACCCGTGAAATGACCTCGTCTAAAAAGTGCCCCATCAACAGTGCCAGAAAGGATGAAAAAAAGTGCTGGTGGGAGGGAAGCTGGTGGGGCCTTTAGGGAAGGTGGTCTGGACTTAGAAAACAGGTAAACACAAGGACCAGAAGCTCCACTCCTGGGCTTCTCTCCCAAGGCCCCCCAAAACCTCAGATTATCAACCCCAATGCCACGGGCCTTGCAATGTTTACTGCAGCTGAATTACAGCTGCAGTCCACTGTCAACCAGAAGGAGAGATGAGCTGGTCTCTGACAGCAGTGGAGAGACACACAGTTAAGCCACTTAAAGACCAGAGCTGGTGAGCAGAACAAAGGACCACAAGCCTGGGAGGCATTACTACCCAAGTAGGGGGAGGGGAGCCTGGGTCGAGGGGTTCAGGATAGCGGAGGAGAGAAAAATAGAACTTCATGTCTCCAGCATACACCAGGGAGAGTGAGGAGAGACTGCAGGAAGGTGGAGGGGGAAGCCCAAGCAGAGGGGCCCTCAGGGTCAGCCCAAGGACACTTACTGCCCAAGCTGTGTCCTCTCCAGCTGTTACTTCCGGCCACAGCTCCATCCCCAGCAAGGCCCCCAGCTCTTGCAGCTCCATCCCAGCTCCCACCAGGGGTCTGGGAGCAGCGGCCCCCCTCACCTCTGACACCAAAAGCACCTGCAGGTGGCCATGTATATTCATGTAAGATGTGAGAGCAGAGGTAAGGAGAGAGCAGGGATGAGGAGAGAGGAGAGCAGGGGTGTGGAGAGAGCAGAGGTGAGGAGAGAGCAGGGGTGAGGAGAGAGCAGGGAGAGCAGGGGTGAGAGAGCAGAGGTAAGGAGAGAGCAGGGGTGAAGAGCAGAGGTAAGGAGAGAGCAGGGGTGAGGAGGGAGCAGGGGTGAGGAGAGAGTAGGGGTGAGGAGAGGGCCTAAGGACTGGAAATGAGTGAGAACTTTTGTAGGGATATGGCCACTTTCACTGACCACCTGGTCCAACATCTGTCTTCAGTCCCGTGTCAGGAAGTGGGTCCCATGGGCCTGGGGGTGAGAACAACCAGAGCTAGGAGTGAAGCAGCTGGGCCCCCTCTAAGTTGGGGTTCTGTGACTGTGCAGCCCATGGGCCAGGAAGAGACACCCCACTGTGCAGCCCATGGGCCAGGAAGAGCACCTCTTTCCAGAGCACTGTGGGGGCTCTGGCAGAGACCCAAGATGCCCCATAGAGCAAACTTAGTGCATGATCACCCCCTGGTGGAGCTCCAGCGGGGACTCTTGGGGTCAAGGGGTCTGTGTGCTCTCTACCATCTCAGCCAGGTCAACTGCGACCACGCGGACTAAGGATAGCACCTAAAAGGGTAACTGAGCTCCCTGCCCCCGAATCTAGAAATCATGGCTACTGTGCCCTGTCCAGGGTGGCCCACCTCCTAGTGCTTCACCCTACTCTTGGGCGGCCCCTAGAGGCAGGGAAAGGAAGTTGCCCTGTGTCTGTGCCCTGGCAATGAGTCTAGTGGGGACCACAGCCGCCCCTGGCTGCCAGCGCCACCGTGCGGTCAGGACAGGAAGGAACCCTGGCCCATGGCGGTGCTCCCGTTTCTGGCCGGTCACCCTTGGCCCCACTATTGAATCTCAGGTGAGGACACTGGGGGCGGGTGTCATGGATAAGCCATGTGGGGACGAGGGGGTCACCTGCGAGTCACTGAGGTGGTCCTTACTGTCCTCGCTGGGCAGTTGGGAGCGGGTGTCCTCCTCAGGGAAAGGTCTGACCGTGGCCCCCAGGAGCGGCACTGATCAGTCACAGAAGGCGGCCTCTGCTGCCCCAGGGGGATGGGGTCACAGGTGCCAGGTGGCCCTGAAGCAGAGCTCTGGGGAGTGTGGGCTTAGCATGTTCTGGGGTTCTGCACAGCCAGAGGCCTGGTCTCACGTGGAGACAACTTTTGGCCACGGCTCCAACTCGTGGCCAATTATATATACTTTTTAACTAAAAGGATTTAAGTCAGCCCAGGACTGTGGCACCATCCTGAGTCCAGCGGATACTCTGCTGCAGGCTGAGAACACGGCCCCCTCCCTGTCCCAGAGACTCGGACAGGCGGTACAGCTGGTCCGGCATTAACCGCATCTTGGCCCCTGGGCGGGACAAGGGGGCTGCCGCCGGCCGGGGTTCCCTCCGATGGTGGTGCGCCCCTGCTGGCGCCTCTGGGCCTGACTGAGATTGCTCCCACCTGTGGGTCCGCGGCTGTGGGCGTGGCCTCACCCACTGCCCCTCGGGCCCCGCCCCCTGGGCTGGGTGGGGGGAGGGGGTGGCCGCGGGGCGGGTGGTTCCCACCTCCAGCACGCCCGGTCTCTGACGCCGGCCGTGAGAAGCACCAGAGCGTGGTGTCTCTCGGGCCACCTCGCTGGGGGCGGGGGGAGGGCAGGTGTGGCCGCCCGGCCCCCCGGGGACCGCGGACTGGCACTGCTCCGTCTGGCGGACTCTGGCGGACTCTGGCGGAGGCAGCTAGCACTTGTGCTTCCAGTGAGCTCTGTGTTTCCCGTTTGTGAAGGAGCTCCCCCACACCCCAACGCTTGTCCCAGAGCCGGAGGGAGATCCTCTCGCCAGTGTGCGCGCCCAACGGCGAGGAGGACGGTTTGGTTTGGCTGTTCTGGTGCCTCAGAGCAGGCAAGCAGGCAGGCAGGCAGATGGGGGGTAGCCATGCCGGCCTCTCCCGGTATCCCACCCACCTGGTCAGGCTGCCCCTGTTTCTCTTAACTGCCTCAGAATGGGGGCCTGGGGGAGGCACCATGAATCCTGAGCACCTCAGAGCCGAGGGCGCTGGCGATCTTGGAGTGGTGTTCTCGAGCACCTTGTGCTCTAAGTAGAGCGGTGCCCCACCGTGACTCAAGGCAAGTAGATGGTCGTTGAGAGACAGCGGCACCACGTGCCCTCCATAGAACAGCTGAAGGTAACTGAAATCACCATTGCGGTCTACGTGAGCACAATAAAAAAAAAAATGACAGCCGACTTTTGCCCATCATTCATTCCTTGGCACGGGAGTGCCCGCGTCCTCACTATACCTCAGGGGGCCGGCGTTCCTTGAGCTCCTCACTGACTCCACGTGGGCTGGGCTGTGAGTTGTTGCCTCACAGCTGATGGCTGCGCCCTTCAATCCAGGTGTCCAACCGTTTCTGCATAAGCACCCTCCCACCCATAACAAGGCTGCCCACCGCAGCCGTTCACAAGCACTTTCTGTAGTCACTAGACAGACATGTGCACGGGGTGTCATAACTAGAACAGTTAGGGATTCAGCCCGGGCAGGAGTCATCCATAAAAGACACAGGATGATCGTGGAGCTCCAGTCCTCCATGAGCCAGGAGAACAAATAAGAACACTGAGACGTGCAGCCGAGGACTGGACTCCACGTGAACACCATGAACATGGTGTGCGGTCCAATAAAACTGTCATCATCCACAGGCAATAAAAGTACCCATTCTCATGTCCTCCAGGAGTACACGCACACGGGCAGCTGGCGGGGTCAACCTCCCAGAGAGGAGGGGTGTTCAGGTCATTGGGTTGGACAAGAGCACCATGGCTCACATCAGGGACATGAGACACAGGTGACCATACTGTTCTGCACACGGACACAGACAATAACAGAAATACCTTCATGGAAGGACAATGCAGAGGCAGGGGGGGGCCTGAACAATAACCATCCCGGAAATGGCGCTCATGGAACCCCAAGCGCCCCGTGTCCAAGCAACCAGGAAAAGAGGGCAAACCCAGCTGACACTAGAGCTGTACACATTCCCGGGGGGCATTCAGATGAACAAACCTAATCTCCACGGGGATCAAGGATGCGCAAAGGGACCCGTGGCCTTCATCCTAAAAATTCGACACACTCCAACGCACCACAGGGACAGGACACACAGGGACGAGAGACGAAGCTGACAGAGGAAGACATTCAAAGGTGTTTCCAAAGGAGAGGCACCTGCAGGCGACTTGATTAGACTTGAATGAAATCAGCTGGAGAAGTTGGGCCCCATCTCCCCCAGCCCCCTGGGCAGGGTGGGGGGGCTGCCTCGGCAGGGGATGCCCTCTGGGAACCCTGTGGCCCGTGACCCCACTCTGCAGTCAGAGATTGGAGACTCAGCACTCCCACGCTGGGGCCATCCACTGTGGAGTGACTTCAATCCCTGTTCTGCTCCCGCACTCACCCAATCATCCCTGCATTTCCAGCCTATGCAAAAATTATTCCACAGCCCAGTTATATTGATGACTGGATGGCCTCTGAACCATCACCAAGTCTCTCAATTAACCATGAGCACGTTTGTCTTTCCCTGTAATTTCCCCTCCCTTCCTTGACAGGTAGAGCTGTTACCAGGGACAGTAAATAACAGTTGCAGAAAAAAAGCTGGTGCCCACCAGTCTGTCTCTGTACTGACCCCTGTTCACCCCCCTTTGCAGAACCTTGTTCATCTCCCCCTTTTCTTTAGCATTTTATGAATAACCATGCCACCTGCCAAAGACAGGACGCTCTCAGACAGGAGTCTGCTGCCCTCATCACTTCTCCACAAATTCAACCTCCTTTGTTTTCCACAAACTGTTCCCTTTTCTTGTCTGAGGGGTACTGAGCCCAGCGTTTGGTAACAATTTTGGGGAGCTGGTAAGGAGTTGATGACACTCTGGCTCTCCCTACCCCAACTCTGACTTCCAAACAATGTAGCAGTTGGTCGGGGCGGCGCCAGGGCCCACCTGTCCGTGCTGTCCGACCAGGCCTGCATCTAGGAGGTCCTGGCCCTCCTGCCGAGTGGGAGCCACCGCTCTCCAGGAGGGGAGTCCCAGCAGCTGCCAGGGACCTTTCCTCTGGGGAATTTGCCAGGGCCTCCTTGGGGGAGGCAAGCTCTTCTCTGGCCCTTGGGCTCTGTCCTCAGACAACACCCTGCCAATAAAGAAACAGGCGCCCTGGAGCAGGCTGCATAATGCAGGATGCTGCTCCAGAGAAGATCCTGGCCTTGAAACTGGAAAACTAATCCCACAGCACTGACGGTATGGGGAAGCACAGAAGGAGACCGGGAAGCAGACGCAGCGGGGAGGGTGGAACTGAACTTCTCATCTGCTGACCGCTTGGTAGCATAGATCCAGCCCGAACTCCCCAGTCAGGATTTCAATCTTTCAGCAAGGCGTGCCACTGATCAGCTTCGTTATACATCAGTCAGTGCCCCCGGGTGTTCCCGCTCATACCTATAGTACATACTGAATGAGCTGTCTTACTAAACACACAAAGAGCAGAAAATACCAAGTGTGTATTTATTTAAGACCTGCTTCCAGATCAAATTTCAGCAGACAGAGGTAAAAGGAACTCAAGCCAGTGGGAAATGCACTGCCAAGCTTTTGTGCCCATGATGGCACAACCCGGTAAAATGCAGCACTAATAAGCAATCAGCAGCCACTGGACAACTTCGATTCCACCCCAGAGCTGACCCACAGCCCACAACAGACCTCTCCTGTCTCCCCACCACTCCCCTCAGCAGTGGACTTTGACCATCTGCCTGTTCTGCTCCCCACTCTGTGTCAGGTGAATCCTGTCGTAGCCCCGGCACACTGGTCTATACCCCAATTCCATATACATAAGATTAACAAATCTTAAAAAAGAAAAAAAGAAAGGAGCAGCATCACTCTGTTCGCCAATGTCAGTTGTTCCTGGGGTTCCTGCAGGGAAACAGTGATAGGTTTGTAGCCCTCAGTTACTGTTTTCCCAAGGCACATTCAGATGAAAGAAAAACAGCTCATCTCCTGTAATCGCTAATTCCACTGGGTGACACTTTTCACTCCAGTTTCCTTCCACCTGCCCAAAGATGAATCCCTGGGGCAGAGTGGCAGGGCCTCTCCTGTCCACTCCAGAGGACGACCTGGACATCATACAAAGGAAAAGGAGGCACCCGCGGGGTCTCCTCATCCTCATGGAGGGGTGCACTCCTCTCAGCAGGAGGGTCAGGAAGCCACCCACGATCACAGGCCCGTCTCTGACAGCTGGAGAAGGCGCCGGTGCACAGTGTGGCCAACTGCGCAGTCTGTTCCATCAGAGTTGGGGTCGGGAGAGCAGAAGGGACATCCAGCTCCTGGATCCACCTTGATTCCTACCTCCGTGGCCTGAGTTCCACACCCGGCCAGGGAGTAACCCACAGGGCGCAGCAGACCTCTCCTATCTTTCCCACTGTCCCCTTCGGAAGCATATTTCAGTATATCCCCCCCCCGCCCCGTTCCCCTTCCCACCTTGTCTCTGCTAAATCTTCTCCACCCACTGCCCCCACCTCTAGCCCATGCCCTAGTTCGACAAAAAAACAAAAATTAATAAACTTAAAATCTAAAAAGGAAATGAATGACCTGAGAGGTTATCACTTCAGGATATGAGCATATTTGCCAGGAAACTCCTGGTGGCCTAGGTCTCAGCACTATCACCACCAAAGCCAGTGTTCCAGCCCGGCCAGGGAGTGACCCATGATCATAGCAGACCTCTCCTGTCTCCCCGCTGCCCCCTCAGCAGTGTGGCAGTAAGTCCGCCTGTTGTGCTCACTGCTCTGTGTCACATGAGTCCTCCCAGACAGGGTGTCTCTAGCCTATGCCCTGCTTTTGTAGGCACAGATGAATGAAAAATTTTAAAATGTCCTGGCCAGAGGCAACATACAGGATCCACCGCGATAAAGGTAGAGAGATGTGCAGTTTACGGCAAACTAGAAAAGAGAATTGAAATTGTAAACTTATGGTCTCTTTGGCACAGTCCTATGAGATTTCTCTGAGGTTTACAGATGTAACTTGAGGGAGAACGTTCTCCCACATTCTTTACTGGCATAAGGTCTTTCACCGTGTGAATTCTCTGTTGTATGTTGAGGGATGACTGTCTCAGTGACTTTTTCCAACATTCTGTACACTCTGAGTTTCTCTCCACTGTGAATCCTCTGGTGACCCTTGAGGTGTGACAGATGTGAGAAAGATTTCCCACATTCTTTGCATTCATAGGGTTTCTCCCCTGTGTGAATTCTCTGGTGTTTCCTGAGGGCTGACTACAATGAGAAAGTTTTTGTACATCCTTTACACTCATAGGGTCTCTTTTCACTATGTATAACCTGGTGTTTCTTAAGATCTACCTGCTTAAAGAAGTTTCCTACATTCCGTACTCAATGGGTTTCTCTCATTTGTGCGTGCTCTGATGTTTCTTGAGGGTTGACGGCCATAAGAAAGACTTCCCACATTCTTTACACTCATAGAGTTTCTCTCCTGAGTGAATTCTATGGTGTTTCTTAAGGTATGACTGCCAGCCGAATGTTTTCCCACATACTTTACACTCATAGGGTTTCTCTCCTGAGTGAACTCTCTTGTGACTGTTGAGGTCTGACTGCCAGCAGAAAGTTTTCCCACATTCTTTACACTTAAAGGGTTTCTCTCCTGTGTGAACTCTCTGATGATTCCTGAGGTCTGGCTGTAGAAAGAAAGATTTGCCACATTCTTTACACTCATGGGGTTTTTTCCCTGAGTGAAGAACCTGGTGTTTCTTGAAGGCTGACGGCCATGAGAAAGTTTTACCACATTCCGTACACTCATAGGGTTTCTCTAGTGAGTGAGTTCTCTGGTGACTCTTGAGGTCTGATAGCCAGCAGAAAGTTTTCGTACACTCTGTACACTCATAGGGTTTATCTCCTGAGTGATTTTTCTGGTGTTTCCTGAGGTTTGACAGACATGAGAAAGTTTTCCCACATTCTTTACACTCATAGGGTTTCTCTCCTGAGTGTATTCTCTGATGTTGCTTGAGGATTGACGGCCATGAAAAAGTTTTCGTACATTCTTTACACTTATAGGGTTTCTCTCCTGTGTGAATTCTCTGATGTCTCCTGAGATACGACCACCAGTAGAAAGTTTTCTTACATTCTTTACACTCATAGGGTCTCAGCTTGTGAGTAATCTGGTGTTTTTTAAGAGCTATCCGCTTAAAGAATATTTTCCTACATTCTTTACACTCATAGGGTTTCTCGGCTGTGTGAATTCTCTGATGTGCCTTGAGGGATGACTGCATCAAGAAAGTTTTTCTACATTTTTCACACTTATGGGCTATCTCTCCTGTGTGAATTCTCTGGTGTCTCCTGAGGGTTGACTGCCAGCAGAAAGTTTTCTTACATTCTTTACACTCATAGGGTCTCTTTCGAATGTGAGTAATCTGGTGTATCTTCAGAATTTCCTGCCTAGAGAATGTTTTCCTACATGCTGTACACGCATAGGGTCTCTCTCCTGTGTGAAATCTCTGATGTGCCATGAGGACTGACAGACACAAGAAAGACTTCCCACATTCTTTACACCCAAAGTGTTTCTCTCCGGTGTCAGTGCTCTGGTTTAGCTTTAGGCCTGAATTCTGGAAGAAAGTTTCAATACATTCCTTAGATTCATAGGGCTTTGCTGTTGTGTGAACTGTCCAGTGCGTAGAGAAATGTGAGTTCTGCCCCTCAAATTTCCTACCTTCTTTGTACTCGTAGTGTTTCACACCTGTGTGGATTTGCTGACCATCAAGGCTGATGGTTGACTTCCAGGATAATGATTCCAGACTCTTCTCATAGTCATAAATTTTCTCCCCTGTAACAGTTTTCTGAACGGGAGTATCAACGGCAGTATTGTCACAGGTCTTCAAATATTCAAAAGGCTGCTCACCTGTTTGGATTTTATAAACTTCAGTGAGAACAGATATTTATTGTTTTCATCATTTTCATATTTTTTTTCCTGTACTTTTAACAGTGAATACTCTGTAATCTGTTGCTAAAATTTTCCACTTAGATTACATTTATGTTGTGCATTCTCAAAATACTTGTGCAATTTAAATTTTGCTGGATTCTCAAAAAAAAAATTGTCTCATATCTGGTAAACCTGTAGTGAATCTCCTCTATGGACCCCTCCCTTTGGGTGCGGAAGCAGACCGCCAGAGGTTTTTACAAACTCATGGCGTACACAGGGAGTCTCTGCAGTAATACCAGGGGAACAAGGAGTCCTAAGGCGGGGTCAAGGGGAAGCTGACCAACAGGTCCATGTGGCCCAACCTTCTGGACTCGTCCCTTTCTACCCTCCCTGCCCAACAGGCACTGACTGACCTGAGAAACTCTGCTCTGTGGGGCTCGCGGCAGTTGGTGGTGCTTCTGCTTCCAACCTGATGATCACCTCAGGGTTCATAACACAAAGTCCTGTTGATGAGAAATCATGAAGGGCTTTGATCAAACTGGCGAGGCATCATGGCCTCTGAAGAATGACAACAGGGGCCTTCCGGGTGGTGCATGGGCTAAAGTCTCACAGCATAAAGCTACGGGAGCCACTAAAGCATGAGTTTGATCCTTGGCAGGGAGCTAAACCACACGGTGCAGAAGACCGTTCCAGTCTGCCCACTGCTCCCGTCAGGAGCGTGTCTCAATAGGCACGCCTGTCCTGATGCTCCCTATGTCTCATCCCCAAAGCACTACCTCTGGCCTGCACCCCACTCTTGTTTCCTAAAAATAAAACAAACAACTATTAAAAATGAGAACTGTTATGAGCAACTATATGCAAACAAATTAAACAATTTAACAGAAATGGACAAATTCCTACAACTCTACAACCACCCAAAGCTAGATAAAGAAGAAATAGAACAGCTAAACAGACCAATTACAAGGAAATAGAAGCAGTAATCAAAACCCTCCCCAAAAATAAAAGCCCAGGACCAGATGGATTTACAAATGAATTTTTCCAAACATTCAGAAAAGAACTCGTG